TTTTAGCCGTGTTACGCTTGACCCTCGTTATACTTTCAATGGAAGTAGAAGCCGAGATACAAGAATATATACCCACAGACATAAACCTTCCGTAAACATTATTTGCTCACCATGTTTCAATTCAGACAATCTCACATTGCCCGCAAACACCGTGTGTGTGTGCAAATAGTTCTGCCAATCCGTTCGTTTTCACTGTACTACTGCTGTGCGCTTCGTACAGAAATCGGACAATTTACCTACCGCTTTTGGCTAAGCGGAATCAGCATTTTCAGCCTTTTCCGCTGCATCATTCCGATGGAATCGCCATTTTGCCATTTTTGACTTCAGTTGTGTAACGGCAATGACAAGGCATTATTACACTTTCAGATAAACAAGAGCAATAGAATTCAAGATTGGTCATTTTTCCCTCTTATACACTACAAAAATTGAATAATATCACGATACTTTGTTTCGAATATCGGTGAGGGATTGTGAACGGGCCATTCGATAATGGAGCACAATAGCTAGCCTGCAACGGTTATTGTAGTACTTTATGATTCAATTCTCCTCAAAGTAGGAATAAAATTTAGAATGTAAGAATTCAAAAAAAACCAATTCAAACCCCAAAATTCGTCTTTCACTATTATCTGTGATGTTTGTTCGAAATTTTTTCATTCATTTATACGAAAAAAGCCATGCAACACTTAATTTATGTTCTAACAAAAGGGGACTGCGCTCAACCAGCTAAGCTCAAAATAACAAATATATAATCATAGCATGTACGACTTTCGATAAATCTCGGCATAGTTCAAAAATTAAGATCGATATCTTGTAGCCAACGCCGGGACTGTTACAAACTTTATTGGCTAACGTTTCGGCTTCTCGCCTTCGTCGGAGCCTGAATGAGGTATCAATTTGTAACCCAGACGGGCAAATGTCTTTACGGCCTCACGGAAAAGGTGTAAGCCTTAGTTTTGGGCAGCAGTTTTGCAACAGCCACTTATCACACAAACAATTCCTTGATAGAACGGCCGCTGGGCTGTCCGTATATAGAAGTACTAAGTGGAAGGTCAGTACAGCTGGCTCAGATAAGGAGACAGTTCTCTCGTGATTGCGAGCATTCTTCTTTTCGGTTAATTTGTGGGTTCCTAGCATGAATCCACAATGCTTCTAGAAGTTCGCGAGCAGCCGTCTTTGGTTCACGTGCTAATATTTTTACAGTTACTTCAAAACTCCATTCTCCATGCTTTAGTAGTTTGTGTGTTCCTAACGGAGTGGAAGTTCGCTGCTTGTCCCTGCCATTTAAGTGTTCTTTTACACGAATACACATAGGGGACGTGCGGTTTTACCTACATACTCGTCTCCGCAGACGGTACAGGAAATGGAATAGACCACCCCAGTTGACATACAATCTCCGCTTTCACCTCCTGGACATATGATACAATTGCCCGTAGTACAGCTGCTGTCATACATGCGATTTTTTACTAAAATGCGCTTCAGGTTGTTTGGTGGCACTTCTACTATCGACATCAAATCAACTAATCCTACTTTCTTAAGGCTCCCGCGCATTGCTGTACTTATCTCGGTGGAGATGAACGGAACGTAAAAAGGAATCTTTTCGTTATGGGTTGGTCTCGCAAACCTTTTCCGTGCTTCGCTGTACCTGTGAAGTTCCCATACCCATTCGAAGAAGCTATGGAGCGCGCAAGCTCGAGTGATTCTTTTCTTTCTTGCTCTCCACTACACACCTGCGAAGCTGTTCGGAACATATTCTTGATAACAGCCCTTTTTGTCCAAGGTGGGTGAGCGGATTGAAAATGAATCAGGATATTCTTATTGCTCGGTTTACGGTACCACTTTGTCACGTGCATACCCGTGGTGATGTTCACTTGAACATTTAAAAATGGTAACCAATCGTTTTCCGGCTTCTCTCTCGTCAGTCTTATATTCTCTGATTGCTTATTGAGTAATTCAAAACGTTCATCAAGCTCTGCCTGTGCCGCAAGATGTTTAAGATGTTTCAAAAACAATATCGGAAACTTAACAGAGAATGGGCATCCATAGCGAAAGCTGCCAACTTACCGCGCGATATCATTGCTCGTTTGAAAATTGAGCTGCCTACCTGTCCTGTGCTATATTTGCTAATCAAAACACATAAGCTCCAAACTGATACGGAATTGGCCTCAAGCGATCCCTCCACATTTAAAGTACGTTCCATAATAAGCGGTGTAGGGGGGCCTACGGATAGAATAGAGTGGTTCATCAAAACCGTACTCGTTCAACTACTCAGATTCATCCCATCGTATCTAGCCAATACGCGAATGTTTTTGATCGATTACGCGAAACACCTATCAATAAAATGCGTCATGGAATCATTCGACGTGAATGCTTTCTACACAAATGTGAGCAACGATTCCGCGATGCAAGCTATATGCGAGCTGCCAATATGCCATGAAAAGTCCTTTAACCTTTACGGACTCTCCATATCACAAATCATGGCTCTATTGAAAGCGTGTTTAGAATGTAATACTTTCCGATCGTCTGGGAACTACTTTACGCAAATACGAGGATTAGCAATGGGACAACGCTTAGCATCGGCACTCGCGATAGCATTCATGGCTAAAATAGAAATGCCTGTTCTAGAACACCGTCCCTTACTCTACTGTAGATATATTGATGATTGCTTTGTGATTTGCGCGACACAGGCAGAGCTTGATGAATGTTTTGAATTACTCAACAAGCAATCAGAGAATATAAGACTGACTAGAGAGAAGCCGTAAAACGATTGGTTACTTTACCATTTCTGAACCTTCAAGTGAACATCGCCACGGGTATGCACGCGACGAAATGGTACCGTAAACCTAGCAATAAGAATATCCTGATTCATTTTCAATCCGCTCACGCACCTTGGACAAAAAAGGCTGTTATCAAGAATATGTTCCGAACAGCTTCGCAGGTGTGTAGTGGAGAGCAAGAAAGAAAAGAATCACTCGAGCTTGCGCGCTCCATAGCTTCTTCGAATGGGTATGGGAACTTCACAGGTACAGCGAATCACGGAAAAAGTTTGCGAGACCAACCCATAACGAAAAGATTCCTTTTTACGTTCCGTTCATCTCCACCGAGATAAGTACAGCAATGCGCGGGAGCCTTGAGAAAGTAGGATTAGTTGATTTGATGTCGATAGTAGAAGTGCCACCGAACAACCTGAAGCGCATTTTAGTAAGAAATCGCATGTATGACAGCAGCTGCACTACGGGCAATTGTATCATATGTCCAGGAGGTGAAAGCGGAGATTGTATATCAACTGGGGTGGTCTCTTCCTCCTGTACCGTCTGCGGAGACGAGTATGTAGGTGAAACCGCACGTCCCCTATGTGTATTCGTGTGAAAGAACACTTAGATGGCAGGGACAAGCAGCGAACTTCCACTCCGTTAGGAACACACAAACTACTAAGGCATGGAGAATCGAGTTTTGAAGTAACTGTAAAAATATTAGCACGTGAACCAAAGACGGCTGCTCGCAAACTCCTAGAAGCATTGTGGATTCATGCTAGGAACCCACAAATTAACCGAAAAGAAGAATGCCTTGCAATCACGAGAGAACTGTCTCCTTATCTGAGCCAGCTGTACTGACCTTCCATTTAGTACTTCTATATACGGTCAACCCAGCGGCCGTTCTATCAAGGAATTGTTTGTGTGGTAAGTGGCTGTTGCAAAACTGCTGCCCAAAACTAAGGCTTACACCTTTTCCGTGAGGCCGTAAAGACATTATCCCGTCTGGGTTACAAATTGGTACCCCATTCAGGCTCTGACGAAGGCAAGAAGCCGAAACGTTAGCCAATAAAGTTTGTATCAATCCCGGCGTTGGCTACAAGACATCGATCTTAGTATAATCATAGTAATTAAAATCAATCTTTGTGGCCATACCCATCATGCGTGTTTATAGAACACAGACTCGAAAGTAAGAAAAAACAAACGGTCGGGGAGTTTTTCAGATGAGATATTCTTGTTAGAGTTGCAAAAGGCAGTTGTTGCGTCGCGGAGTTGCCTATGAGTGAGTGCCATCCATATCATAATCATAATCATAACTGAGATTGCAACAGCAGATGGTTTACCTGAAAGAAGAGGAAGTCACAAAAGAAGTTCTATATCAAAAGCGCGCAGCAAAGCGAAAAGTCAAAGGAAAACACAAAAGCGCGGAAGGACGTCTCAAAAACAGTTTGAAGCAAGCATGAAAATGAGGAAAGACCCTTTGCAAGTAGCGCAGGCTGGCGTTTCACCTCAAAGGCTAGCTCAGACAGTCGAAGGCATACCTCCGGTGTGGAAATGAGAGGGTCCCGGGCTCTGCCTAGCGGGGGTCTGCCACTCGTGCTCCGAAGCCCTCCCATTTCACGCCACCGCGACGTCAGAAGAAGGCGAATGGGACTCCTCCCTGGGGCTCGCACATCTCTGCTCCGGGGGTGCGTTAGATTTGGAGGAGCCCCGGAGCACCAACGCGTGAAATGGGAGGGCTCTGGAGCACGAACTGTCAGACCTCCGCCATTTGCCCTCCGGAGGTATCTCTTTGACTGTCTGAGAAGTGGTTCAATAATTTCCCCGGAGTTTCCAAACGCTTAGGTTTTTCTGAAAGTTTTGCATGCGAAACCATCGCGGAGCAATCCATTTCTTGAGAACCCACTGCGTCAACTTTTGTGATCTCATGAGCGAAATCTCGCCTCACGCCCTCCTTATCTGGTAGCTCCGACAGTTAAGAATGCTCCGCGGAATCCCAGCAGATTTTGGAAAACAGGTTAATGGGAAACAGAGCCGGAGACTGAGCTCAATTGTAACTTAAAGGAGCTTCTCACTTTTCATCTACCGATAGGCAAATTATCTTGATTGCCATACATTTTCGCAAGTTACAAAAAAGCATGAGTTCCTCTCAAATATCGGGAATAAGAAACTCACCTTTTCGTTTTGTTTTTCATAAGAAATAAATCAGAAATCGCCCACAATCAAGCAGCTGTCAGAATGAATGTCAGAATGTCAGAAGAATGGCACACCACATGTACAAGGACCCAAAGGTACGGTATTGAGCCAGATGTCGGTGAAATTCCGGCAGAATCAAGAGGCCTGATTGTGGGAGAGGAGCAACAAGGTGACAACAAGGTGATGGTAGAATGATAAGCAAAGACCACTTATACAAATGTTGCTTGCACTGCGATCTGTTCAATAATTCAGCATTACTCTTGCACCAAAGTTGGTTTATAGCTATTTCTTTTCTTGTCTTTTCTGGATTAGTCACGGATAAAAACTCTTCCTCAAAGTTTCCTGATGTCTATTTCGTTTTAGAATTACATTTCAAATAGTTACAAGAAGAATTTTGGCCGTCAAGAAAGACATATTTCTTCGAGGCACTTATCGTCACTTTTTGCTAGGTCCTCTTTTCCGTCTGCATATTCACTGAGTAGTCTGCAAATTGAAGTCTTTCTACTTTCACTTGCATAAAGCACCTGTTCGGAAATGCTGGAATGACCGGCGCGACATGAGGTGTTTCGCATAATTGGTTTCTTTTTCACACACTCACGAATGTTTCGAGCAAAGCACGGCTAAATCTCCTGCACTTCGCTTGGATTTCTCTTGCAGCGAAAAAGAGGGTGAAAGCCGCCGCATGACCAAGCATCAACCATACTCACTTCGGACACTCTTGCAGTCGACTAATGAATTCTGGATGCCTAGCTGCTTATGCAGCCGTGTGCATGTCTGTCATCACCATAATCACCAGTATTATCTGCGTTCCTGGTCTCTTAAACAAGATGAAGGAGATCAGACGAAAACTAGCTGTAGATGCAGATGATTTCAATCTCATGCAGGTACGGCCTCTCTAACAAACAAGTTTTGATTTCGTGTAGAAGCAAGATCAGATTTAGAGTCAAGGTCTTGCAAACTGCAAATTCTTCTTGTCCATCTGATTCTATTTTTATGGACAATAGTGAAGTATTTCTGAGCAAGCTGTACTGACTTCATAACTCCATATAGTTAGTAGTCCAGTAAAACATCAAACGAATGTCAGGTTCCCTTCACTATGGATTCCTAGATACGCTTGGACTACATACTTATTCATAAAACAACTATGTAGATATTCCGAAGGATCTGATAGTAACCATGGAGTGACATAAGACAGCTCACTCAATGTGTCCATTCAAAACTTGATTTGTTGGCAGCAAGGAGAATCGAGTGGTGTGTATCAGCTAACAATTAAATACCCTAAAATCTTAGAGATAAGTTCTCCCATCAGATAAGTCTGTCTACAAATAAGTCCGCCTTCAGATAGGTCCGCTTTTTTAACTCAGTTAAGGCCCTTCAGATAAGTCCGCCTACACATATGTCCGTTTTCTTTCCTCCTACCTTGAACTCTTGTCAGATAACTCCGAAGACTGTCATATAAGTCCGGTTATTTGTAGGCGGACTCTGATGGGAGAACTTCCCTGCAAGATTCTTGGCGGTGCGAGGGCGCATTTTCATCGACTTTTCTCGTCAAAAGAGCGGACTTATTGTAAGATTTAGGGTCTTACAATTACAAACAAATTACTGCCCTAGCTTTTATGAAAACAGCTTCGAGTCTGTGTATCCATTAATTGCGTCATAAAATGTCAAAAAATTTGAAGTGGTTGATAGAGTACCCTCGCTTTTCAGCGGAATATTATTTCATAATTTTATTTTTTTATTTTGTGTACTGAGGTGAGTCAAAAGCAGAAATGCTTTTCAATGAAAATTCAAAGCTTTGTAATCAATGAAACAACTTAGCTTGTTCTCAAAATATAGACCTTGGTGATCATTTAATTGTCTTGGTACATTCTCCGCCAATCTTTGGTTTCCTGCCTAGTACCAGTATGCGAATTTTGATTGAAACTTCTTCATTCCAATTTCGGCCTCACTCTAATTTAACTTTTTCCTTACAAGAAAGGCGTCATCATTCGGAAGAAGCATTATTGTAGGCGCCAAGTCAGACATATTGGGTGGGAAGCAAATTAATCGTACCAAGCATAGATTTTATTTTATTTTTTAACCTCTTTCTGCATCTTCCATGATCTTGGCTGAGACCTTAACTTATGTGTGGCTTTCCCTCATCACCATAGTAGGCCCACTTCTCATTGTAGGTCACAATTCTTCTGAAAAATAGAACGATTACCTGTGGGTGCTGCAAGATATTTATGCAGACCCCAACTCTTCAGCGCCATGTTCTTCAACCTGCTCCTTCTAAACTTTGAAAGTTTGTGCAGCTGACGAATGTGCTGGACTGGAAAACGATCTCACTTGACAAGTTGAAGAATTGGCAGGGTTTTCCGTTACCGCGTCGAGGAAAATTGCAAAACCTACAGGGCTGGGTACATCTTCTTGGGTATCCCCTTGATCTTCTTAAAGATGTCCTTGTCTCCTTCTGGTACGATTCGTAAGCTTGTGACCTCGAGACCCTCATTCGATACTTTCTGAGCAGTTTTCTTTGTGTTACAACTTGCATACAGTATTGGCGGAGAACCGCTTTGATTGCAACACTTACGGATTCCATTCTAAAGTCCCTAATTAGTGCATCTTCATAGGAAAATGAGGAAGCCACCTACCTCTCAGGGTGAAGCACTTTTGAATAATGATATAGAAAAGCGAGAAGCACTCACAAACTTGCAAAAGAGTTTTTATTACTTTTGACTCACCCTAGTATGTGATACAGGACATAAAGTACAGTCTTCAATGGAATGCAATAAGATTAGCTTTTTATTCGTAGAATGTTAAGAGATCAACCACTGCATTCCGATGAAACCGGCAAATTTTCCAACAGTTTTCTCTCAGAGTAACCATCATTCACTCAACCATATAAATCAAACCCATTGCTGTTGTTTTGCAATGTTAAAAGCTTATTGAACGTATCTGTCTTTTTAGCAAGAAATATGGTCCGATCTACAGACAATCCGCAATGAGATTCCTTTGCAAACTGTAAAAAAACGAAACGCTACGGTTGCATGCGGTACGAAAACTTGCTGCATTATAGAAGTCGAAGTCATGATGGAAGATTTAGTGTGCAAGTATGGATATTCGTGCCCTCCTGGCGAAAAAGGCAGACCGGGCATTGATGGTTTAAATGGTATACCTGGTCTACCTGGTGTACCGGGCGAAATTGGTGCTCCAGGTGTTATACCAGGGCAGTCAGGTAAATGCAGAATGTGCCCTCCAGGACCACGTGGATATGCTGGTGTGTTTCTATAGAATTAGACTCAAAGAAACGTGTTTCAGCCTTTGCAGGCTATGTCGGCCTACCTGGACCACAAGGAGCGACTGGCCCTCCGGGAAGTCCAGGTCCAGAAGGTCGTTCAGGCCCTGATGGCTCACCAGGTTTACCGGGACCCTCCGGATCTAAAGGAGAACCTGGCGATGATGGTGAGGAGGGACTACCAGGAATGAATGGAACATTCTATGAAAAAGGGCCTCGTGGACCAACTGGAGTAAAGGGCATGGTTGGACTCAAGGGCTGTTCAGGGATGACAGGACCATCCGGACACGCAGGTCCTATTGGGCCCATTGGAGAGCGAGGACGTGCTGGGGAACCTGGTACTAGTTTATTTTGTACTGTAGTAATAATCTGGTGAAAAAATCGGTTCATTTGCCAGGACAGCGCGGATATCCGGGAGTCGCTGGAAGATACGGAGAGGATGGTACACCTGGTGAAGATGGTGGATACTGTCCCTGCCCTAATCAGATTAGTGGTGATACAAACTAGTTGATCTGCTATAATGGGAATGTGGCCAACGTTGAGCTTTACAGTCTATTCGATACTTTGTGCGATGGTCACTGAGAGAATATCTTACGGTGCATGTTCCGATTATTATTCTTCCTTATTTGAGATGGAATGCCTCGAACGAAGTATCAGCATAGAATCAGGTAGAGCCTGTATTGACGCTCGATTGCGAACCCTTCTCTAAAAGTGAAGTCATGAGATAACGTGATGTTCGCCTTGATATTGTCATTAACAGAACCACTTCTGTTCATCAAAACCTTGTGATATTTTGCAACCTTATAGTACACTTATTCTCTGACATTACTGTATGAAAAGTTCTTGTCGTCTGTCACTGCTTCTATCCTCTTTCTCTTGGTCAGTTCATGATGTACTGTACTCAAACTGGCTGGATCTGTGCTGTAAAACAGTAAAATTGTCAACTCCATGTCTTTAGCTTCATTAGCGCAGCTCCGGGTACGCACATTATTGTAATCAAGAAAATGATCGTCCCGTTATCCCATTATTGCTGAAGGGTGGTGCTCCCAAAAAAGTGGAGCAACACAGCAAAATTTCTGCTCAATATTGTGCGCTTAAATTGCGTCAATTAGCAATGCTTGCGATGGAGGCGACTTGCGCGCGCGGAATGTCGGCATTACTCGCTTGTGGCTATTTGTTCACGTGCAAATTTGTTCACAAAATTTCTCCACCGCAAACACATAGTGCGGAATACCAGAATAGCCTTCGAGAAACTTTCATTTGAAGAAAAAGATTAAGGGCGGTTATGGTGAAATATGAATGGACTATTTCCGTTGCTAGATTTTGCAGTTAAAAAAAGTCCGTGGCACGGCCGAGTCGGTCAGAGTACAACGAAACTCATTCAGACTTGGTGATTAAAAAGGTAATGCCACGACAAGAAAAAATGCAGCCAAAACCTTGCTTTTGAAGCCATTTCATAAATTGCGAAAGGCCAAAATTTGCTGTGACTGCCAATTTAACTACTTTGCCTAATCGAACTACTACTAGTTTCTTCAGAAACTCTAAGTGCAATGTATCTGCTGCAAACTAAATACTATTAGGGTGATCCAAAAGTAATGGGGCACCTAGAGAATAAATGCAGTTTTATCAAATAGAAAAGCTAATTGAAAGTCTAAGTTTTGGCAGATGTCAGTACGTAACAATACCTTCTGATCGAGGTCCATAGTTAGGCACTGTGACGTGGCGTTACTTTTATGAGCGCTCAAAATTGAAGCTCATCACTTCAAGTAATTTTGAGCTTTGAGCAGCAGCGCCGCCGTAGAACAAGTGAGCTTACCAAAGATATCTGCGCAGCAATGTGTGAGGGGACTGTCGCCAAGTCCACGATAGCTCGGTGGTCCCAAGGCTTTAGAACCGAAGATATAGCATTGGGTATCAGGAGACATATTAGTTATTCTTTCATTAAGGTAATGAAATAAGCTCAACCTTAACAGCTGCTTTATAACAGTGCTTTTTACGCTCTATCCATACATATGCAAATTACTTTGACTTTTCTCATTTTCAAAAAATTGTGCGGCAAAACATGAATTTTAGTCTGAAAAACTGCCCCAAACACCGCACTTTTTCGAATAAAGTGCCTTTTTTGTATGAAATAATGTATAAGTTTTAAATATTTTAGTAATCAGTAGAAAGAGCTTGGAAAGCTCTTCCGAATGGTATGCCATATGTGAAGGGACTTTCAGGTGCAGCAGCACAAATTCAGATGGCGTTCAAAAAAGTCTGCCTGAATTCTTTGAAGCGCCGCTCGAAGAAATGTCGGTGAGGTGCTGCAAGATGCTGTCAAGATCATCTGCGAAGGTCACTTTATACAAAAGCGTTCAAATTGCTGGTTGTTCGTAGCTAATCAGGAAGAGATCTTGTAGAATATTCAAAAAATCAAGGTGCCCCATAACTTTTGGATCACCCTAATAGAAATGAGAATGCTCAAACAAGTTACGATCGTTGGTGAAAGTTTACATTCACGTTGGCCGCTAGACTCTTCATTTTGTTTTGAATTTTTAACCTGATAAACTTTGCGCACCTTGGATACTTCACCAAAGTTCCTCCTTAGCATATGTGTCAGGTATCCGAAGTGATACATTCTACACCACAGCCTCACTTTTTTTCATATGAGTCTAATACTCAAAGGCACCGTCCACCCAAAATGGGGTCGATGAGATTTTGGTGCCTAACAATTAGCGCGCCCTCAACAGTATACTTGTCCAACTCGCGCTGTCAAAAATTCCTCCGAAGAGAGAAAATTGCTTTGAAAACCGCTAGGTATGAGAATTAGCTACGCTGCTCCTCCCCTTTGATTGGGCGTGACGTTCGTTCCGCCCATCCATGCGCACCCAACCAATCACCGTTCCGGAAAACTCGCCCTGCGGGTTCTCGGAACGGGGTTTGTCGCAGCTTTCCCGAATTTTCGACTTTACATTCGGCATCAGGGACATGAGGGGGCCCCGGAACCACAAAAACATGGAAGTCGAGAATTTTGGTGGACGATGTTAGCATTGGAGTATGAAAATGGGATGGTCATTCACCTTTATCGCAAAGCATCTTCAACAGTGAAGCGGAACAGCATGACACAGGACAGGACATATGTACAAAAGTCAAAGTAGTAGATATCATGAATGACATTATATGCATCAATCCGTGGTTTATGCACAAAACAACTTATGCTCGTGCTTACATCTAATAATAAGACAATGACAGTACATGTGCACGATTTAGAAACAATTCTTAGAGAAACGACATCATTACAGCTTATTGCTTTTTTCTTAAGTAAAAATTGTAAAACAAATGATTGTTGAAACCAAATGCTTTGATGTGAATTTGGGTGCAGCATGAAAGTCCGAGGGCTGATAAAAATTTTGAGTTTTGCGCGGAAGGAGTGTGGGCAAATAAAGCTGATGGTTGGTCGAAACAACTAGGTTCGAGATAATTCAGTTGTGATGCAAACACGAAGAAGGCTATGCATTGTGGGACTTATCCATACTAGGGTTGCTCCGTAAGTTCTGGCAGATTTGCTGATTTTCTGATTAAAGTTACAACTTTTCTCAAAATCGACATTTTTAGGCAAATCAAATTTTGTTACATCAAGCGAGCTTACGGCTATCAAAATTACAGTATGCCGATGAAGAAAGCAAGTGAGAGGGAAGAAAAAATTTGGAGAGTTCTGCAAGATTGGCTTCAAGACCGTCTATCTTGACTTAGAATAAGGCAATAAAAAATCGGACAGAACTTTTGAAACAAACCAGTGTTCGATAATAAACGCATGTCGGCTGCGAAGAATGTGTGTAATACGCGTCGGATGTCACAGGAAACTGGAATTACCTGCACCACTTCTTACATACACATAGAATTTGAGGGTCTCATAGCTGCTTGATGTTCTTAAGATGGAGTAAGGTGCCAAATAAATTCCAGCACATAGAGATAAAAATGAGTAAAAAAAAGCGACTTCCTCCACTTAGGCTTTCTCCGTCTACCTTGTCAAGTCTACTGCCGGACGAAGTCGCAAGAGCAGTACTACTCGGCGACGCGGCGCGTGTAGCTGCACGCGCCCGCCCAGTGAGCGGAACTGCAGACTCCAATTACGTTCTTTTCTCCCGCACACTCGCCGCTTTACCCTCTATTTTACCGGTTTGCGCTTTCGTCGGTAGTATCTTGAGCTTCAGAAGCCACTTCCGAAGCTATGAACGCATTTATCGAATTGAGAAGAAGTGCAGAAGGCAGCATGACCATCTCACAAATGAAGGATACTTGATAATCGTGGAAGTTTGTATTGAGAACAGGGTCAAGCGTGTTGATGCGATCCGGGACCCCCATTTACGACCCCCCCCCCTTTTGAAGGTACCCATCCGTACGACACCCCCCCCCCCCTCCCACCCCATCTACCCCCCCCCCCCCTATCTATCCCCTTACCTCCCCTGCCCACATTCCTCGCGGTAACCTGCATAAACGAACAATGCCAATCTCAAAAAACAAATGCGTGAGAGCTTTAGTGAGGTTTCGGAAGCAGAATTTCTAGGCCAATGGGTGCGTTCAGCATCCGTAGCACACGTACACACCTTCAATAATATTTGAGATTCTGCAAGTTTTTTTTTTGAATTTTCAGGCATACTTCAGGCCAGCAAATTCGGTTCCCGTATGCGACATAAATTTTTGCACGGAGGAAAAAATGACAGTCTTCAACTACAAAAGATGTTTTCGACTAAGGAGCTTACTTCCTACCTCTTCCACAGTTTTTTCTGCGAAAAAAACCGCTTCAGCGCCGTCCAGAACGACGTCAAAAACGTGCATGAGCACGGTAGTTTGAAAATTCGTAACTTAGGCCAGGAACAGACTAAGAGGATGCAATGAACAGTTTGTGTAGCACATAGTGCCCAGACTATCCATAGAGAAAGTTCCAGCCCTTGAGGAGCAGTGAGCTCGAAAAAATCTAGATGCGACTCTCGCAAATTTAGTTGCGATCCTAAAAAGCAAAAACTGGGATTTTTGAGCTCAAAATTTTGTAACTTACAAGAGAAGTTATAAAACAGCCTGCAATTTTTATGAGGGAAAGTAGGAGGATGGCCTCGTATTACAGCAAAATTGCAGCCAACAAGCCTCAATCGCTCCGGAAAAATTTAGATGCGACCCAGATACGACCCCCCTTTTGTCATTTTTTGCCACCATACATAAAATCATAAGAAAATCCGAAGGCTATAAAGTAGGACCAAATTTTGCACAAATGTAGTAGAGCACCTCTAAAGTACACATAAATTGTAAAGACCGTATGATAAGTATTACAAACAGAATTACAAATTATTGATGATTAGCGTTGATAGAGATATGCGCTTCTGTCGAGTGTGCGAGTCTTCTGTGAGCCTTCGGAAGCAGGATGTCTACACCAATCGGTACATCTAACATCTTTATCACACATACATGCCTTTAGTAGCATTTGAGCTTCTAAAGGTGTTCATTTTTTGAATTTGAGTCATGCCACC